GCCCAGGCTAGAGTGCAGTGGTACAATCTCGGCTCACTGCAACCTCTGCCTCCCAGGTTCAAGAGATTCTTCCACCTCAGCCTGCCGAGTAGCTGAATTACAAGCGCCCACCACCACGCCTGGCTAATTTTTGTATTTTTTGTGGAGACAGGGTTTAGCCATGTTGGTCAGGCTGGTCTTGAACTCCTGACCTCAAGGGATCTGTCGACCTTGGCCTCTCAAAGTGCTGGGATTACAGGCATCAGCCACTGCGCCTGCCAGTGTTTTTTTTTTTTTTTTTTTCTAAACATAAAGTGAGGTGGGGCAGGGGACACAAAGGCAGGCAATGGGAGAGAGGCCCGGGCAGGCAGCCTCCCTTTCCACATCCCTGAGAAGGTCAACCAGCTGATAATTCCACCAAAAATAACATTCTCACTCTTCCCTGTGGCAGGGGAAGAAAAAGGAAAGTCCACAAGTACAGGCTGTTTCTAGAATTTCTCACTGGCTCATGGAAATTTTGAGTTTCCCTGCCATCACACACATCCTGAAACGCTGGGGGAGGGGGCCCAGTGCCATCAAGAGGGAGTGATGCCAGAGTCACCATGGCCACAGCCGGGAGCTGGCCAGCAGAGCCACTGCACACACCAGTTTACCCACGGCCAAGGCTTCTGCCGTGGGAGGCACCACAGAGCGTCCCGAGGAGCCGGGAACAGGAACTGAGACGTGGAATTTCTGTTCTGAGACCTGGCACTTGGTCAGCAGCCTGGGCCTGAGGGAGTGGGTGACTTTGTACTTTCTGCACCTTTCTGGGAAGGGAGATGGGAACGGCGTGGCTTGCTGCCCCTGGAAACCACCCAGGGACCTGGTATCCTGAGAACTTGCCCAGCCTATCAGATGGAAAATAGCCAGCCCTGGAGAAACGGTCAGCATTGGAACTGGAATACAGATACACCAATCGGAGTCACATGGGCCTGGGATGACAGGGCACAGGATGCGCCCTCAGTGAGCAGGAGGAGAGAAGGGCGGAGGCAGGGAGGAATTCCAGGGCTCAAAGCCTTGTCCTCTCTGTTTCCTGGTAGGGAAAGCAGGGCCAGCCTCCCTGCAGGCCAGCGCGGCTAAACCTGGCCCCAGGCCTCAAGCACGCTGTGCTCTAAGAAAACAAGCGCCCAGTCCCTGGGGACTGGCCGGGGCCCTCTGCTTCCAGGAAAGGACAGAGTGCAGACTGTTCAATCTTACAGGGCTCTCTCAAATAACAAGATACACACCCATATCCCACCCCACTTGTTCCCACACAAATACAACTTTTAGGGCTTCCAGTAAAATAAGTGAAACAATATAGCTGGTCCAGGTCTGCCCCGCTCCTGGTCCCTCCAGGACAGCAGCCCAGTAATCCCTGTGCGGGTGGGCGAGGCGCTTCTGGTGAGCTGGCTGCCTCCTCCTCTGCTCGCTCCTTGTTCCCCAGCAGGGAGCAAAGAAAAGGATCAGAAGGGATCTTCCAGGAATGAAAGGAATCCTGAGATGCAGGGATAAAATTGGCTGGGAGGCAGTCCCTGGCCTCAGGGGTTGCAGTCAACAAGTATTTATTAGGAACTTACTGTATGATTTGCTGAAGCTACCATCCTGAGCAGAGGCAGTGGTCCTTTCTGGCTTACACCACAGCCAGCTTTCCACCAAAGCCAGCAGAAGACCTGCATGGACAAGGATCCCTATCCTCAGGCTAAAAGAAAAAACCACCGGCTGCGGGTACGGTGGTTCACGCCTGTAATCCCAACACTTCGGGAGGTCGACGCGGGTGGATGGCTTGAGCCCAGGAGTTTGAGACTAGCCTGGCCAACACAGTGAAACCCCGTCTCTAAAAAAAAAAAAAAAAAAATTGCCAGGCATGGTAGCACGCCTCTGTGGTTCCAACTACTGAGGAGGCTGAGGCAGGAGGATCCCTTCAGCCTGGGAGGCAGAGGCTATGGTAAGGTGAGACCACCACACTGCACTCTAACATCGGTGGCAGGGTAAGACTCTGTCTCAAAAAGGAACAAAACAAAACCCTCAAGGTTCTAAGTTTTATTCTTTTTTTTTTTTTTAATAGAGTCAGGGTCTCACTTCTGTGGCACAGGCTGGAGTGCAGTGCCCTGATCATAGCTCCCTGCAGCCTTCAACTCCTGGGCTCAAGGGATCCTCCCACCTCACAGGTAGCTAGGACTATAGGCACATGCCACCAAGCCTGCTGGGCTAATTTTTAACTTTTTTTTGTAGAGATGGGTCTTGCTGCATTGCCCGAGCTAGTCTCTAACTCCAAAACTCAAGCAATCCTCCCCAGCCTCATCTGTCCAAGAAGCTGGGACTACAGGCACGTACCACTGTCCCTGATCAAGATTTAACTAGTTCCATACTCCCACTACCTGTGTATGAGTGCCTATTTCACAGGATTCTCACCAACACTGAGTATTAAATTATTCCATCTTTACAATTTGATAGGTTAAAAATTACTTAATTATTTTAATCTGTATTTCTTTGATTATCAAGGTTGACTTTTTTATTTCTACTCCTTTTACAAATTGCCTGTTACTCTTCTTTGCCCGTTTTTTTTCGTTGTTTTTGAAACAGAATCTCACCCTGTTGACCAGGATGGAGTGCAGTGGCATGATCTCAGCTCACTGCAACCTCCCCACCTGGGTTCATGTGATTCTCCTGCCTCAGCCTCCCAAGTAGCTGGGATCACAGGCCCGTGCCACCACGCCCGGCTAATTTTTGTATTTGTAATAGAGTCGGGGTTTCATCATGTTGGCCAGGCTGGTCTCAAACTCCTGACCTCAGGTGATCCACCCACTTCCACCTCCCAAAGTGCTGGGATTACAGACATAAGCCACTGCACCCAACCTTCTTTGCCCATTTTTGCTGATACGTTCATGTTTTTTATTGGTTTATTGTATGGCAAAATATTAACCTTTTGTCACATGTTACAAATATTCTTCCTAATTAGTTGTTTGCCTTTTAATTTTGTTAACTGGCATTATTGACATAATTTTTAAAGAGGTAAAGGCAAATATATCATACTTCTCCTTTTTAAAGTTTCTGCTTTTAGTAACATGCTTGGAAAATCCTCTCCTGCCCTGAAAGTATAAGCAATACAACTGTATTTTCTTGCATTTAAAAAAATTTAGGGGTTGGGCGCTGTGGCTCACGCCTGTAATCCCAACACTTTGGGAGGCCAAGGTCAGGAGATCGAGACCATCCTGGCCAACTCGGTGAAACCCCGTCTCTACTAAAAATACAAAACATTAGCTGGGTGTGGTGGTGGGCGCCTATAGTCTCAGCTACTCGGGAGGCTGACACAGGAGAATGGCGTGAACCCGGGAGGCAGGAGCCCCACTGCACTCCAGCCTGGGGGACAGACCGAGACTCTGTATAAAAAAAAAATTTAACGAGGCCGGGCATGGTGGCTCACTCCCATAATTCCAGCACTTTGGGAGGCTAAAGGGGGTGGATTGCGTGAGCCCAGGAGTTTGAGACTAGTATGGGAAACATGGCAAAACCCTGTCTCTACTAAAAATACAATAATTATCTGGGCATGGTGGTACATGCCTGTAGTCCCAGCTACTTGGAAGACTGAAGTGGAAGGATCACTTGAGCCCGGGAAGTCAAGGCTGCAGTGAGCCATTATGGAGCCACTGCACTCCAGCCTGGGCGACTGAATGGGACCCTGTCTCGGGGTAAAAAAAACCAAACAAACCGGGAATGGAAGGCAAGGCTTACTGATAAGCTGGGCGGGTGGGAGGGTGCTCGGTGGCTGGACGGGGTGGGGTGGGGGGTGCTTTTTGCTCCCTTTTTGAAGCTCTTCACTTGGAGGTATGAAACAGATTCCAGTCTTGGACTGCATCTGTGCGTGGGTCCCTAACCCAGTGGCACCACTGAGGCCTCATCTTGGTCCTGAATCAGAACTTTCTAGGTGAGGCCCAGGCCACCTCGGGCTAGAGAGGTGCTGAAGGATCAGCCTCTCTCTAGCCCCAGGAACTGGCCTGACACTTCAAGACTGCTGGACCAAACACTGCTGTCCCTTCTAAGTACAAAACTCTGCAATTACTTCAGCTCTCTGACCTCAGTTTTCCGTCTTTGCCACAGGGCTACCACAATCTGTCCCCTGCCCATCCTACAGCGACAGTGTCACACTCAACCAGAGCTCTCTGTACAGAGGCAAGTTGCTGGTACAGTTATCCCTTGGCATCGGCAGGGGACTGGTTCCAAGACACCCCCTCCGCCCCCAGGATACCAAAATCTACAATTGCTCAAGTCCCTGATATAAAATAGCACAGTATTTGCATATAACCTACGCACTTCCTCCCTACAGACTTTAAACCATCTCTAGGTTACTTACAGTATCGAATACAATGTAAATGGCATGTAATAATTTTTATACTGTTTTTATTTGTACTCTTTTTAATCATTATATTGTCAGTTTTGTTTCTTTTTTTTTGAGATGGAGTCTCGCTCTGTCATCAGGCTGGAGTGCAGTGGCACAACCTTGGCTCACTGCAACCTCTACCTCCCAGGTTCAAGCGATTCTCCTGCCTCAGCCTCCTGAGCAGCTGGGATTACAGGCGCACGCCACCACGCCCAGCTAATTTTTGTATGTTCAGTAGAGATGGGGTTTCACCATGTTGGGCAGGATGGTCTCGATCTCTTGACCTTGTGATCTGCCCGCCTCAGCCTCCCAAAGTGCTGGGATCACAGGAGTAAGCCACCACGCCTGGCCAGTTTTGTTTCTTTTCTCAAATACTTTCCATCAGTGGTTGAATCCACGGAGACAGAGACTGTGAGCTGACTATACTGCAAAGTGTCTGGATCTTAAGGACACAGGGCCTCTAGCCCAGCCTTCTACCCACCTGGTTTTCAGATCTGTGTCACCATGAGGGGAGCAGATGGCCTGAGGATGGGCCCCAGCCTCCACACAGCCAAACCTGCCTTCTCTCCTAGGTCTAAAAAGAAATCTCTTTTCTTTGGCAGCTCTGTGAACCAGAGTTTAGTAAGCAACTCTTCCCACAATCCTGAATCTAGTGGGTTGAGTACTATCCCCTCAAATAACTGTCCACCTGAAATCTCAGAAAGTGACTTTATTTGGAAATACAGATTTTGCAGATAAAATCAGTTAAGGATGTCAAGATGAAATTGTCCTGGATTTAGGATGGGCCCTAAATTCAATGACGTATGTCTTTATAAGAAAAAGGAGAGGGAGATTTGGACATGCAGACATACACCAACAGGGGAAGGTCATGTGAAGACAGAGGCAGAGAAGGGAGTGGTGCAGCCACAAGCCAAGGAACACCAGGAGCCACCAAAAGCTGGGAAAAGAAGGAAGCATTCTCCCCTACAGCTGTCAGAAGGAGTGTGGTCCTGGTGATACCTGCATTTCACACTGCTGGCCTCCAGACCTGTGAGAATACATTTCTGTCGTTTTTAAGCCACCAAGTTTGAGGTAACTTGTCAGGGGAACCATGGGACACAGATCCACGGGTAAACACTTTGGTGCCAGAATTAAGACCTGATCGTGTTGAGCTGCCGCTGGCAGAACGCTAAGATAACTCCAGTGACCCTCACTGCTGTGTTTGGGCGGAACCCATCAATATGAGACATCACTCCTGGGATCATGGCACACTGTGTAGCAAAAGCTAGTCTGCAGGTATTTGCCGACCACATTAGTCGACGTGAGACAGGGAAATTACCCTGAGTGGGCCAGAACGAAGCTGGTGAGCCCTTACAAGGATGGCTCCTCTTGGCAAAAAGAACTGAAGTGTGAGCAGGACTCCATGTGGGAGAAAGGCTGTGTCACCGGCGATGGAGGGGACCACATGGAAAGGAAATACGGGGGCCTCTAGGAACTGAGAGTGGCCCCTGACTGGCAGTCAGCAATGGAAAATAGGGGTGAGGGGGCAGGGGACCTCAGTCCTATAGCCACAAGGAGCAGAATTTTCCACAACCATATGAGCCTGGCAGAGGCCCTGAAACTCCAGCTGACACTCTAAGTTTAGTCTTCTAGGACCCCCGGCAAAGGAGCCAGTCATGCAATGCTCGGCCTTCTGGCCTACAGAATTGTGAAATGCTAAATGGGTGTTGTTTTAAGCCACTACGTTTGTCATACTAATACGCTCGCCTGCTCTGATAGACCTCCACTCTCCAGAGCAGTGAAGTGACAAGTTCTGGTCACAGGTGGCAAAGCCAGGCAGCATGGGTCTCTGCACTCCGTCCTATTCCAGTTTACTTCCAATTAATCCGTTCTACTGACACATGCCTACCAAGAGCGGGTGGTAGGTAAATGAGTGGTAGCGGTTTCTGATCTTGGACCCGGCAGGCTTTATAGCTTCTAACATTAGGCTACAGTTCTCATCTTACAAAGAATTCTAAAGCTAGGAACTGGATGGGAGTATTGTTTAAGACAAATACAATTGGCAAGAGAGTTGTGAACTGTAGAGAGGGACAGTGTAGCCGAGTAGGCACAGATCCAAATGGGGTATTCAGCAGGTAAGACACTGATTAAGCATTCAGTACATCCTAGTGCAGCTCTGCGTGCAGAATCACAGAGTATTTAAAATCAGAAACACTCAGTCGGGTGTGGTGGTTCACGCCTGTAATCCCAGCACTTTGGGAGGCCAAGGCGGCAGATGACTTGAGGTTGGGAATTGGAGACCAGCCTGACCAACATGGAGAAACCTTGTCTCTATTAAAAAATATAAAATTAGCCGGGCGTGGTGGCGCAAGCCTCTAATCCCAGCTACTCCGGAGGCTGAGGCAGGAGAATCACTTGAACCTGGGAGGCGGAGGTTGTGGTGAGCTGAGATCGCGCCATTGAACTCCAGCCTGGGCAACAAAGAGTGAAACGTGAAACTCCGTCTCAAAAAAAATAAAAATAAATAAATAAAATAAAATAAAATCAGAAACACTCACCTCTGCCTCCAGATGTTACTATCTGAAAGGTGAGTTGAGTCAAATACTCTACAGTCCACACGTGCAAATGTGTGTTAATCAGGGCCACGATAATAGGAGCAAAACCAGTGGAAAATAACCTTCATCCCAGCTAAGAAAATGGCTGAAAGGGTTTTTCACTGTTGGAGAAAGATGTCATAATGAAAAGGGAAAGACTAAAATAAAATGAAATTTGTAAGGTTAGATCAGAATAAGAGGTATCAGTACAAACTTGTATTTTTTAGCATACATGTATACAGATAGGTGCTGAATAATCTGTTTCCTAGCTTTGTCTGCTAAGAGGACCTATTAGCAATGATAACTCCTGTAGCAATGAACACCCCTAGCAACCAGACCTTGGTTTCTAAACAGCGTTCTCCAATAAAGGAAACCAGACTCCGTGGACAAGTGCCTGACTGTAGGGCTGGGGCAGCAAAGTCACAAGATGAGCCTGGACTATTTTATAGTAAAGGAAATTAAGGAAACACTGAAAAGCAAAAAAAGACAGGGGCTTACCAGAAGCACACAGGAGACAACTGGAAGGAGCTCCTAAAATGGTAAAAGCGAGAACAATTTGAGCCGCAAAAAATATTATTCAACTTTCACCCATAGAACAAAATCTGATTATGAATAATCAAATGCATGAATAAATGGAGAAGCAGGGCCAGCTCTTGCTTACAAAGAATTCCAATAAATAAATGTACAAGAGGGAAACAGAGAATCATCAGGCAAACATCACAGTAATCATTGTTGCAAGCAGGGTCCACAGATGGATGCTAAAATTAGGGGATGAAAGTACAAGGAGAAACAGGATTTGCATAGTCTCAAAGTATCTCCTGAAACTACAAAGGGAAAGAAAGATAACTTTTTCAGTTTACCCATTCGGGTTTTTTTTGTTTTTTGGGTTTTTTTTTGAGACACTATCTCACTCTGTTGCCCAGGCTGGAGTGCAGTGGCTCCATCTCAGCTCACTGCAACCTCTGCCTCCCGGGTTCAAGCGATTCTCCTGTCTCAGCCTCCCGAGTAGTTGCAATTACAGGTGCATTGACGTCACCATGCCTGACTAATTTTTATATTTTTAGTAGAAACTGGGTTTCACCATGTTGGCTAGGCTGGTCTTGAACTCCCAACCTCAGCCTTTGCCCACCTCAGCCTCCCAAAATGCTAGGATTACAGGTGTGAGCCACCGTGTCTGGCCCCATTCAGTTTTTGTAAAACAACAACAAAAAACCCACCTTTTTTCAGTGTGGAAATCAAGCAGACACCAACCAAGTAATCCAGATAAATATCACCAGTAAAAAAATACTCTGACATGGCCGGGTGCAGTGACTCATGCCTATAACCCCAACACTTTGGGAGGCTGAGGTGGGTGGATCACTTGGGCTCAGGAGTTCAAGACCAGCCTGGACAACATGGTGAAACCCTGTCTCTACTGAAAATACACACACACA